AGGGCTCCTCCTCGACCTCCTGTCGTCCCGGGGGCAGGTCTGGAGCGCCTTCACCATCTGCCTGAAAATGATTCCGTGTTTTTAAGAGAAACTATACACGATGGACAACTACGTTGCATGCGTGGCAGCACATCCACGCATCGGTACGTACATGTACTGGAGCCCTACTAATGTGCTCATTGCAATAACGAGTGGGACGACGATATGGACGGCAGGCCATTGAATGGTTGGTTGACACTGATCTAAGTTTAAAAGGCTAGGCATTTAAGTTGGGGCTGAGAAATACGTACGCTTCCGTTCCTGGTTAGCCTACCTGTAACGGCACCTTGTTGCCATAATATTCATGACAGCACCTGTGAGAATACGAATGATTGCTACAAATAATGTCATGATATTAGCCAAAGTTGTATGCAAACTAACGAGTCCTCAATTGTTTAAAGTTGTGGTTGCTGGTCTTCATTTTCCATGGCACCAGTTGGGTGATACGTCACGCGCATCCCGTTGGATCGTGTTAAATCAAAATCGAGAAGCTAAAAGTATGCTTTGTGCTTATGTAGTGAATCGAAATGCCATGCATGACGTTCGTTTGAAAACTTTCGTGTTTCGACAGTTGTCTGTCTGTATATGTGCATGTGTTCAAGCCTCCGGGCCCGCCACGCCGGAATGCGCCGACAAATCGTGAGAGAAGTGGCGGCATCTGGTGAGACGGCTCGGTGGGAAGCCTGGTCCCGGTTTCGAATCGATCGATGGCGCGTGGAATGTGCTGCGTGGCATTATTCGAACCTTTGTCTTCAATTCACATATACAGGGATGCCGTTTAAGGTAGGGCGCCACTGGTCCATGCATGAATGGCCAGGCTAAATTAAAACCGAAAGACTTTTTGGCTGGAAGATTCACCCGGATGCATAAATTTGTGGCGCTCAGTCCGACTTCCTTGATCACGGGGATGCTTTGTTTTTATGTCATTAAGCTGAGAGACCACAGATGTAAATTATCATAGTGCTTCGACGAACACGCCGTTTGGGACAATGTGATACGATTCTGGATTCAAATCACAAGAATACAATTTTCACATCAGCTCACAGCCAATGCCATTTCTTTGTCATAATGACTTTCTGACGACAACAAGGTGTCAGTGACCCCACATGACCTTAAGTCATTTCTTGTTTCAAAAACGTATCTAGGTTAAAGCTTGTTGTCTGAGGACGTCTGGATATTTTGCCATCAATATCTAGTTTGGCCTTGTTTGTTCTTGTTTGAATTTAAGGCCATGGACATAGCTACCTCAAAAGATGACACAATTGGGTCCCATAAGGTCCAACTCGCGCTGTAAATTGGTGTCTTTGGCTCTAAGTTGTTTTAGCACTTTTAGACATCAACCAAATGTCTGAAAATGGTCTATAGTTAGATGAGCTAAAACAGCGCGCAAAAAAAAACTACAATGTAACCTGGATGAAGCCGCCAAGACATGCTCCTGGAATGATCATGTGATAACACTACTAGAGCTGCAGGTCATGACACAATCCCAAAGCCAACGATACCTCTCTATCACTCATCGCAGAATGCTGGCCTCCTAGTTAGGCAATGCATTGAGGACGCCTTGGTAACACTTACTTGCTCGTCGCCACCAAGCAGTTCGACATTTCGCACCACTGCTGTGCGAAGCCGGAACAGATGTTTCGCCGCCTCAAGATAGCTGGCTAGCCGTCCGGGTGCCGGCGTCTACTTGCGCCGCCAGCATCCGCAGGCGGACTTTCGTAGCGCGCAGCTCCCGCCTCGCGCGAACGTGGGGCTGGAGGACGCCGAGCTCTGCAGCCCTGGCATTTCTGTTCGCGCTAGCGATGGCCTGTCATTGTAAACGCATCAGGAATATGAGTCAAACCACGCACTGACGGACTGCACACAAACTTAAAACCAAAGATAGATGAGCATACCTGTCGACCAGACCATTTCAGAGCATATCTGAATCGGACAGACCTACTGGGACGTTTTAGGTGGTCAATACAATTTTGAACAAATTTTAGAACGCCGTGTTTCAGCCGAGTTCGAACTCAAGATGCTATCAGGTTATTTTAAGCTGCATACAATAACGCGGGAATTGTCACTATGTTCACAATGCAACAGCTGATTAACTAGGTGAGCCGCGATATTGGTTCACACCATAACCACGGACTGCCGGGCGCTTGACACGGGCCAGCCAGCTGTCAGGTAATCCGATTATCAACGCCGACGTTGGACGGCAGTCCATGATGATCTTTTATTGCAAGTCACATGCAGATGAGGGAACCGCACGTAAGTCCAAATACGAATGAAAGCAAACACTTCATGCTAGTTGGGCGCCTGTGATACCATTTCAAAATAAAGGTCAAATGGACAATGACCAATGGTGAACTTTCGGAGAAAGTGGCGTTGCCGCTGAAAACCGGACGTTGCCAAATTTATAAGTGAATGCCATCCCTACATTCGGTAACTAGAGAGATATAGCACTGAAACCTGGGTACAGGTCAACAAGGTCGGTGGCATTTGATGCCAGCAGAGAACAATATACAGCTCAGGTAGTGACAACGCCGAGTAGAAATGTATTTATATGAAAAATGAAGCCATACCACAGCACATTACCGACGAACATGATTCTTAAGACAGTTTTGGTCCAACGTATGTAGTTAAAACCTATCAAGGCCGTTGACCGGCCATGAGCCGTGTCCATAAATGTAACGGCACATTTCAAGATGGTGTTTGGTAAGAAATTGTAAATATCTGTACAGCTACAATCATTCTGAAGATATAATAGCAAGCGTTGCTAGAAGATATATGCCCTCATCAGTGCACGGGTGAAATGCCAAGCATAAGGAATTTCGGCTGAGCTATTCAGCCGTTTCAAGCGAGTGTGTTAAGGTACAACATTTCTAAGCTTTTCATCACATGCGATAATCATTTCTAACAAATGGTCGTAGATCCAGGCATGACATAACATGAAGTACTTACGTCGTTGGCCTTGGCTACGAACTGCCAGAAGCTGGGGTGGGCTGCGGGGATGTTGGCACCTAACCCAGCAAAAAACGACTCTGCGTCGTTGTTCGTACGCCGTTCCAGGCCATGGACTGACAGGCGGTCGGCCGGCAGGGCGCGCCACTGCCTCGCCATGTATGCCTTGAGGCGGGCCACTTGCGGCTCGAGCTCAGGCTCTACCTGCGAAACGGAATGGTTGAAAACGATTTTCGAAACATCGCCCGGAAACGTGGGTCAGATTCATGGAACATTTGCGTGAAATTAACCAGCGTTCCTACAGAGTATGATTTGCATTGCAACTAGCCTTTCAGGCAGCTCTTCCCCAACTTCAGCAGGACTGCATGGCTTCAATGACGCTCAAGCAGCTACACTATTGGTAACAAACAGGTATGCACGTGCTGAGAATTTGCTTTTATATGATGAACAAGTCCCGTACGTGTACGTGATACAAACTGAATCGTAATTATAGAAAAGATATTCATTATTACCAAACATTTATGTATAGCGAACTATCGGACTGTGGGATCGTTGTCAGAACGCATAATGGTCAAGAATGCAGTGACCACGTGAAAGGGCGCAACTTCGCAACTCCCGTCACCTCAGGCACGTTGGGGTCCAGAAGAAGCTCCCAAGCCGTGTGGAGGTGGCGAGCGGGCACCAGGGGCAGCACCAGGAGCTTCCGAGCCCAACGGGGAAAGGGGCACTCCCAGTGAGGCCTCTCGTAGGTGGCGAGCGGGCCATGTCGCCTGATCTGCAATTGACAAGATAGGGTCAGAACGTTCGGATGACGACTGTTTCTAATGTCGCGCGTACGCCTAGTCACTCAGCCATCGCACAGCATTCGTAGGGACTCCGGATGTTTGGTCCCTATAGAATTTTCTCACTAGCCAAGGCGGAAACGTTTCCTGTACGTTGAACGCCAAAAAACTCCCGTTCTCGATGTTTTGAACAACAACTTTTGTACCGCTGCACCATCCGTGGAAACCTTCTCTACTTAGCGAACAAAACCTCATATGAGAACACCTGAACGAGTGATGATATTCTCGGTGAAGTAAAGCTAGCAGCCTTTGATGTTTCCTGTCAAGGTGATAAGCATGCAAGGTATTTCAATGGTCGCGTGATGGGTTCGCAACCAATACCAAGTTGCAGTGTGTCATCACGCATTACAACTGATATTGTGTTAACGTGTATAGTGGTGAAAGTCGTTGGAACATAAGGTAACTGGGGAAAGTCTTCAACTTGGCTGCCAGGGTCATCTCAGGTTGACGAAGATATGAACGGATATATCGGAGAGGGTGGCCTAGTGTTTTTAATCGCGTTGTCGCGCACGTCACTGTATTCGGCGACGAAAGAGAAAATGTGGCAGTAGTTGCCCTTTATTTTCTTCAGTTAACGACCAGAGCCCCCGTGCGGTGCGACACAGGCGTAGATATATGGCAGAGGGTGGCGTAGTGTTTTTAGTCACGTAGTACCTGTCTTGCGACCATTTCATTTGGCCAGGGTCTGAGAATAGTCCCATTGGTGTGGCGTGAACAGCTTACGTGCAATATAACGCAAGCTCGGAGCAAGTACATCCCGCATCACCTTATGCATCATCGAAGTACAAATACGTTTGATAAATGTTTCATCCACGTGCCCATGACGTGTGAGTGTGCCGCTCTTTCACTATGGCAATCGCACCTGGCGGAGGATGGCTTGGGCGTAGTGAACCAGCAGCCGTTGATCGAGCTGTTGGGCCACGCTGCTGCGGCCGCCGCCTGCAGCGCCCGCTCCCAGTCGGACATGAACCGGACTGGCGCCGGCAGGCGGCGACCGATGTCCGCCAGGATCCGGCCGTACATGTCCCGGGTGCGGCACGACGCCAGCACCCAGAACGCGGGCAGAATCACGCCGTTTGTGGCCACAAAGACCACCAGCAGCTGGTGAAACTGCCGTGGCAACCACCCGAAAAGTGCCGTCCGCCTGGATGTCCAGGTTCGGGTAGGCCACGGCGCTGGCCACCACATCGTCAGCGGCCAGGCAGATCGCAGCCTGAAACGGACACAACATTGTATCAACACACGCTCAACTGTGTACAGTTGACGCACGATACACGTCCGAGAATCTGTGCATACGAGGCTGTGCAATGTCAATATACAAATCAGCGGAAGACATAGTCGAAGCTGGTGGAGAATGGCTCAAAGCCATAGTGAAACCCTAAATATTTGTAGGAAAACTTCGTGTTTGGAAACCCGAAGTCGGCGCCGAGTTCCTTCCCATGCCACATCCATTCATTGTCTGTTCAAGGCGTCTCAATTTGAGAGCGCATTTGTTTCCAAGCTCTTGTCTGTTTCTAATGCTGATTTGTGCTGTTTTTACTCACTGACATGCACTGGTCATAACCCGTAAAATATGTCGTTTGACACACACTTGCAGTGATAAAACCGAGGGTGTGGGTCAGGATTCCACAGGATCCGATTCACAACCACATCAAGGTGTTGAGCGTTTTACAAGTTCCAAATGAAAAATGGCCATAATAGCAGGGTAGCCGTGTCATATATCACATGCCATGAAAAGTCGCTTCAGATGACTTGCCAAACCTAAGGTGGGGAAGTGACGGGTGCCGGCGATTTCGAGATGTCCTCTTATGCTGAAGATAAGCAGGCTGTTGAGAACTGGCAGCTGTTTTCCTTCCGTTAAAAGTTTTGAATCGTGACTACTTTCTGAATTGGGCGGCTCTTTTTGAGCGGGTGTTTGCGCGTGGAAAATGTTTTTTTTCTATGGTCTGGTCCCGTTTTTCTCAAGGTTACCAAAATAGGCACGATTTCTCCGCCTGGACGAACCATTAAAGGGCATCAAGTTTTCTATTTCCATTACTTTGTGTCTTTGTTGCTTCAAATGCTTTCAGGTCATCAAGAAACTCAACGGGCCTATTTCTTTACTTAACTCGAACGTTCCATATTCTTTCAGATACTGGAATGAACTGGTCAGGCAGCACCAGAATGTGGGAGCTCGAATGGCTGATGTTTTTGGTATCTTTTAATGACAGATCTCGCATAGTTTCTGATGTCAAATTGCAATCGTGGATTGAATAGACCGAAACCTAACCACGCCATGACGTCGATGGAAAGCAGGGTCCTGGCCAACAATAAACGGGTGTGATAGCAGTTTAGATCGCGAGCCCCAACATTCATAATAACTGGAAACAAACCTGGCCATCGTCGGTCGTGATGGTGAAGGCCAGGTTCCTTCGGATGCCGGGAACAGCGGCCTCGATCGCATGGGCAGCCTGTGCCGGGGCCTGGGGCGTAGCAGGGTGATCGCGGCGGCGCTCCTTCATTAGGATCTGCCGCGCCGCCGGATAGCCAATTGCCGCCCCGGCCTCTCTGACCGCCACCTGGTCGAACAGGTGCCTGTTTGCCCGCAGTCCGCCGCCTTGCTGGACGGCTTGCCGGAGCTGGACCACGACTTGCGCCATCTGCAGCAGTGTGCCTTGGTTGTAATATATGTAAGCAAGCTTTGCTGGAATGAAAAGCTGGCTGGTGTAGGGAGGGAGGGAGGGAGGGAGGGAGGGAGGGGGAGGGGAGGGAGGGGGAGAGAGAGAGAGAGAGAGAGAGAGAGAGAGAGAGAGAGAGAGAGAGAGAGAGAGAGAGAGAGAGAGAGAGAGAGAGAGAGAGAGAGAGAGAGAGAGAGAGAAAGAAAGAGAGAGAGAGAGAGAGAGAGAGAGAGAGAGAGAGAGAGAGAGAGAGAGAGAGAGAAAGAGAGAGAGAGAGAGAGAGAGAGAGAGAGAGAGAGAGAGAGAGAGAGAGAGAGAGAGAGAGAGAGAGAGAGAGAGAGAGAGAGAGAGAGAGAGGAGAGAGAGAGAGAGAGAGAGAGAGAGAGAGAGAGAGAGAGAGAGAGAGAGAGAGAGAGAGAGAGAGAGAGAGAGAGAGAGAGAGAGAGAGAGAGAGAGAGAGAGAGAGAGAGAGAGAGAGAGAGAGAGAGAGCATGATCTCATGCATCTATTAGGTATCACGCCAAAATGTTATTTACACAGCGACCATCTATGCACGGCTGTGTGTTTCAAAACACATTTCACAGCCTACAATTACTATAGCAGGGCGGCTAGCAATTACCTCAGCATCCAGAGGCATCGGTTCGTGGCAGTGACCCCGCCGCATGTCGAGGGCGTCGTCCTTCATGACCGCCGTTGCTGGGCAACGCACTCTGGCGACGAATTTGTAGTAGCATCTGAAAATTGTTCTAGTCAAATAGTTGCGGTTCAAAGATGGTAAGCCTGGTCATGTCATTGTGCTTTTGACACGAGAGGTCAACTAGACGACATAAATTGTTCCGCATGTCCCCAGACTCACACCCACACCCACACATCAGTTTTGAGGTTTCGAACTTGACCGGAGATGAGAAATGCTGTTAAAGGTGTGGTTGGCTTCTTGGGATCTGCACTCACAGACATTTTCTCAATAATGACGAGCGCACAATCACTCCCGCCCTGCAATCTTGCACATCCATCGTCACAAAACTTTTTGCACCCTTCCATGTCAACACACAGCTGCCTTTCATTCAACCTAACAGACCGCTAGAGCAAGAGTAACAAAGACGTCGGCCCTTAGCCGGCCGTATTGCGATGGGGGGGGGGGGGGAGGGGAATACTGGTCCGGGTTACATGGCTGAGTGTGGCACCCAATAACTTTGGAAATTAAATTTCGGTTGACTCAGCCTTTGCTTTAAAAGACACACTGCAAATACGTTTGGCAGAAAGGCGCAAAACTGCCCAGTTGTGGCTGTTAACTCTGTGAGTACGCAGGGTTAGCCAAGGGGGCGGCCTTCCTTCCAGTGTGTTTATTAAAGATACAGCACTTGGGCTTGTCGGACCTCTGCTGAATTCCCTACTTCAGTCACCCACTAAACACGTCCAGATTTTTGGAGCATTGCCATCCAACATGTGAGGTTCTCGGGTATTTCTGTTACCTCCCAGAAATCGCAACCCACATCCAAGCACAAAACTGTGCACCGTCCTCCAGACCGTTCATGTCATACTCTTAAAAACATTGCAAATTAGTAACAATTGCTGCGCTGTTTCATAGTGATATCTAAGCGTTCCAAAACATATCAAGCATGTCTACCAGCCAGCAGCGTGCTTAGATTGCCTCATCACGATACTGCCTCGATGAGCCGTTTGCGAGCAGTAAAAACGGTGCTCAAATGACGCCCAGATTCTCCTTGCTGCATCTTGAGAACCTGCCCCAGCCAACTCATAGGTGCGTTGTATGATTCAAAATGCACCCTAATTCATAACCGTTTGGATGTTTTGTCATTGTTCTCTAGAGGTTTTGAACAAAGATTTGGAAACAAAGTGATTAGAGCCCGGCAAGTTTTCGGCGACCTGGTGCAGGCTGTCCAGGCAGCTGTATGCTGATACAACGTCGCGTTCCGACCTGAATGCGCAATGTTGGTAGGCATAATGCCGGTGAGAAACCGGACAAAGGTGAAATGAGTTACTGGGGTAGGGAATATAAACAGTTACTATAGAACCTATTTTCACCTTAGCTTTTACGATGTGATCTCAGAGCGCACACATCTAGAATATTTTTTAGCTTGAGTCTCAGGAAAACCGGCGCTGGAGTCACTTAGCGAACTGTATGACATGGTTGTGACGGTATAGTGACGACAGTACCTTCTCACAGGTTGAATAAGGTCCAAGCAATCAAAATTACACGGTCGGAGATCGTTCTCGGAAAGTCCCTAGGATCCCAGTCCAGGACTCAGGAACCCGGTGCCATCTGGGCCCAGTGCATAACGAAAGGGCCCACTCCCCCAAGGAGATATAGAATCTCTGCTTTAGGCCACCTCATTTTGTGTGTGTGGGGGGCGGGGGCGTTGATCGTAGCTTTCAGTTATGTCAAGATGGTTTTGAAAATGTGCGAAGAAAACCACTTAATCTGTTTCACGAAACAATCGTCAACCCATTGGGATAGCATAGTTACGGACTTGAAATAAACAGTGCCATGGCACTTAGGGATTTCGCGCCATACTCTTGTGTCGAAGCTTATGAAGCACTCAAGGCAGTGAGGGATCTTATCCGAAATCATCTTTGGCGGCACTGAAATGTACTTTGCGACCCCTATGCTTAATAAGAAAAGTCAAGCTTTCAATTCTTGCTCATTATATTTTCACTACGGCCCAAGTGTTGTTACGCATTCCAATAGGGTTTAGAACGCCATTCCTGCAGTTACTGCAAATGTCAGGTCACCCTAATTTCGCCGAGGCCACTTGTCTATGCTACTTCATAGTTCCTTTCTTGTCATACTCTGAAGTGGCTCCGAACCCCACAATTCGAGAAGCATTGGGTGTGCTCTTTTGCCGTAACAGCGGGCTATGCTTTACAATACAGCTGCACGTCATAAGTGAGTCATTCCATTGCCTTCTTGACAAATTATTAGTCGATCAATGCGCGTGGTTTCTCTAACATTGCTAAATGCAAATGGTTTTAAGCAATGCCTTTAACCGTCAGTGTTCCTCACCTTTTTCGTGCAACGAATGAATGAATGCAGGTGGAGGACTGCTAACTGACGTCAGCAAAATACGGCGCGCGCGTGGTTTGCTGCTTGACATAGATACTTGCCTGCGGCGTTTGAGCGATTAAACAATGACATTTAGACGATGTCAATAGTGAAATTGCAATCCCTAAAGTAAAGTTTATGTTTGGACGGGCTAACACACAGAATGACAAATAAAAGGATGGACAGATAGGAACAAATGTGTATACAGGGACTACATTTTGTCACGAACCTGGTCAGTCTCGACAGTACGCTGGATTTGGCACCGTTTGTCAAAATGCCGAGACACCGCCTTGCCCAGTCCGTGACGTGGCGTGACGTGCAATTCGCCACCGAGGCGTGCTAATTTATTGGTGGTCCAACCCGTGGTTACAGAGATGTGAGGACGGTGACGAAAGGATGCTGAATTGGTTTGCGCGGTTCACATTTTCCCACCACCCATGCCAAACCAATAGGCCAAAAGCGACCCATCCGACACGCGCCACGCCCGAACCCCTGACCGCGGCGGCTCACGATCTACCCGTGAAAACGGTCCCGTGCGCCCGCGCGTCGTGTCCGAATTTCACCATTCAGCGACCCGCCGTTTTAGCCGGCTACGACGCGCCGCAAAATGGGACAGACAGACACATCCCAAAATGTTTCATCGAGAAGTGGGACACATCGACCGTTGGCAAACGACCAGTCTGACAAGAGTGATTGGTTGCGGAAAAAGACAGGCTGAGTGCCATTCGCCTGTAAATCCAAGCTTTCCACGCCTTTCCACCATCCACGTCTCAGCAAACCATGCACTTCTAACATGTGTGACAAAGAACGGCACTCTCTCCTTTTTCGTATTATCGAATAATCAAAGAGCGTACTTTGGCAAAGTATGTGCGAAGACTGAAGAGGGGAAAATGTCCAAATGGCCAGAGCTTTCCCAAATTACGGCCCAAAACGGGTCACTCCAAGGGAACGGCAATATTGTTCTCAAAGATTGCGACCGGGAAAAGCTGTCCGAGCTGAAAAAGTACTTATACCCCTAATATATGTATATATACATATGTATATATATATATATATATATATATATATATATATATATATATATATACGTTGCAAGTGGCTGCAGTAATGCATTATATTGTTAATGTGGCACACCTTGAAACTAGGAACCGAGCGCATTATTCCCACAGGTTGTGGATAATGATAACAAGGCATCGTAGGTACAACCATCAGTGAGGTGAGTCCGTCTCCCACCCCACATTACCCCGCCGTCACATCCTGGCGGCGTAGTCACTTACCGGAGATAGGTACCAGCTTCGGTACGATGCTTCGTGAGGTACGAGTGTCCGTCCTCGCCAATAACCAGCCGGCTACCCCGCCTCCGCCCTTCGATGACCCGGTATCTCATGGCTTAATTAACCAAATCGCTCGCCATGCAAACAGAAGACTGTCGACTGCATCCACGCGGCGGCCACGCATGCGCACTGACGCGGAGCGCGCTGACGTTCGCGGCAGGTTTGAAATATCATGGATCAGGGGAACAGCCAGGGTTTTCGTACGGGGTTTGAGTGGAGGTATCGGGTATCGCTGTGAACGCATCACACCTTTTTTGTTTTGCTGTCCGGAACCGTTGTTTTATGAAACGAGGATTTGTGTGTCCAGTAGGTGGTCCCTGGCTACGCCCCTGCGCTGGGTCCCTGACACCGAGCTCACCGAACTCGACGCTAAAGGGTGGGAACTGTACCGATTCGTGGGAAAGCTTCTCCGATTAGCGGTCCTGGCAACTTCAGGCACTTTGCGTTTCCTTACGGGAGTTTATACCCTACGGGCACGGGGGTGAGCTCTCTGCTCACCTTCCAATGGTTGGTTGATTACTGGTCGCATTTGGGGCTTCCCTAGTAATTGCGGAGGTCCCGCTGACCGGTCGACCGCTGCGATCTCGGCGGTCGGAAGGGAGGGCTTCGCACTAGAGGCTCAGAAGTGTTTCACCCCTTGAACCTCTGCGCGGAAGCTCCGGTCAGATACAGCTTTTCCGGTCAGATACCGGCCGGCCAGATACCGTTTTTACCAGATACTGTCAGGGAGCAATAGCCTCACATATGCATACATATGCATATGACTCACATATGCTTGAATGTAACGACGGCTTCAGTATCGGAAACCCGACATGGGCGACTTGGCTCCATTGTTACGCCGTTTGCAAATTAATGTCATTTAAGTTATCAACCTTTGTTGTCAAAAATGGCTTGCAGCATACCGAGAGTTGTCCGTCCATGGCTTTAGTGGTACGATCGTACAATTGGCTAGTCGGCTACTAACAGTATTACTTTGGGCGCTACGTCTTCTCAATGTCATAAGCTTGAGACTAGCGCTTCAAGCTGGAAATGGCTGTTTCATCATGTCCTTGCTTACGATTTAGCCGTGCAATCAGTTGTTACGGGCTAACTAACGTATTTGCATGCTTTGATCTTTGAAAGCCAAAGAGAACATCCGGGTGCCGTTCGTAGAGCGACTGTGAACCTTTGCCCTGCTTCGCCGGTTTTCTTGATGATGGGGGTGCAATAGATGTGAACCGCTGCCGTCACAACAAAAAAACATGAAGTCCGGGGACGGGACGTCAGGCGGATT